CCATATCTCTGAGTTTTGAGTGGGCGCTTGTCGCCAGTTTGCTGCGCACCTGTTTGCATGCATGCGAAGTGTGGATGAGAGCGAGTCTGATTGCATTGGTATCGAAGCTGGTACCCGCTATTCCACCGCGCGTCGTCGTGTGCCGCAGGGAGAGTAACGCGCCATAGCCGAAGTGGCCAACGGAGAAAAGTCCGCCATAGCGGATCTGGAGGTTGAAGAAGCTGTCGCGCGCACCTGCAGAGAAGACCACGACGAAGAAGAAGAGAGAGAGAGAGAGAGAGAGAGAGAGAGAGAGAGAGAGAAAGGTTGAGCGATACAAGATTGGTTAACTACGTATTTGCGTTGAAGACATCGCTACGGCGAGAGAGCGAGAGAGAGGGAGAGAGAGAGATGAGCTATACAAGTTTGGTTGTCACGTACCTTTTGGCACTCCACGAAGTGAAGAGGCGGCCATAGCCGCGGAGCTCGACCACAGAGTAACGAAGAAGGGTGAAAGAGAGGACAGAGGGGGAGACCGAGAAGGGAGGAAGAAGCCATAGCCGAGGAGGTGAAGGGAGAGACAATCAAAAAAAAAAAGAAAAAAAAAGAAAGAAGACAACCGGGGTGAAGAGAAGGAGGCGAGGTAGGGAGAAAGGAAGGAGAAGGGTGGTGAGGAAGAAGAAGCCGGCAACCATAGTTGACCGGGCGTTGACCAGGAGAGTTGACCAGGAGCTGATCGAGCGTTGATCGGGGTTGATCGGGAGTTGACCGGGGGTTGACTGCAGTGTTGACCAAGCGTTGACCAAGGCGTTGACCAGGGCTGTTGACCACGAGTTTGACCAAGCTGGAGCCGGTATAATCTCGCCAAGCCTTCAGCCTATTCCCTCGCCCTATGGATGTGCACACACCCTGTGGTACTTGCTGAGTAAAGTATGTCTGTCTCTTCTTTCTGCATCGAGTCTCTTCTGTCCAGGTGTTAGGAACTATGTGGATGAAGGATAGGGCCTTGTTGACCAAACCCACACGGGTTGAGTAGGGCTAAGGACTGTGTCTGACGACTCAACTGTCCCGGAGGACACGAACCGTCCCAAGGACCGGTACTGACGGGCGGGCTGCTCGGTGTGGCACGGTAGGCCCAAAATTCGAGTTGTGGGCTGCACAGAGGCCGTCTAAGTCTTGAGAAGATCTGCTGATCGCGTCGTCTTGTCTGCGACGTTAAATAATTCCTGAGGAGCTACGGGGGATCTCCTTAAATTCCTCCTGATCAGCAACAGGTCTTGTAGTGACAACCTTATAGGTCTAGGCTAGAGATCCTAGTTGACAGGATCCTGTCTGGATTCTGTAAGTCCTTAGATCGAGTCAGTAGGTTTGTCAGTCATGGGGAGTACAGTCTAAGTGGTGAGGAGTGGAACCGTTGTCTGGTTGTGCACCTATCACCATGGTTGACACCCGTAGTGGGAAGAGTAGTGTTCCCCAATCCGAGGCCGAGCAGGCCCAGATTGCTGCCATCCCGAGGGAGAGGAAAGAGAAGAAAGAGCTCCTCAAGCAGGCGAAGTTAAAGGCTATAGCAGAGGAGCGGGTGGCGAAGAAGAAGAAGTTAGAAGAGGAGATGTTGAGATTTTAGAAGGAGAAGATGATGATGTTATAGCTGGAGGAGGAAGAGAAGAGGAAGGCTGCCGAAGAAGAAGCAGCAGCAGAGGAGGAGGAATAAGAAGAAGAAGAGCCTCTTGAAAGAAGGCGTGGAGGAGACGGGGGAGAAACAAGTGGCACGAAGGAGGAGGACAAATGAATGGAGAAGAAGATCAGCGAGTGGGTGGCTAACTTATCATTGGGAGAGGATGAGTTGGCACAGTTGTATGTACCGCAGGATGAGAGAGAGGCATTTGCAGGGCATTAGAAATGATAGAAGACCCCCTGGAATGTCAAACCACGGAGGATGAGAAAAAGTTGGAGTGGAAGTTACGAATGATGAGGGAGAAGAAAAGGAGGGAGGAAGCCAATCGAGTGGCTAGAGAGGTGGAACGAGTCCGGGCATGCAGACCGGAGATGCACGCACAAACAGAGGTCCCCGCGAAATTAGATAAGACTATAGGGTACCTAAAGATACTGAGTGAGGCCTGGCTTGAGGAGCATCAGGCCAACAAGGGTCACGACGTGACCACGCATGCCATGCGATCCAGTTTTAGGGAATTTGCGAGCGATGCGGTGACCCACGTCGGGACCGAAGTTAGGAAGCTAAAGGAAGGCGCAAAGAAGTCTTGTGCTGGCGCCATTGAGGGTGCCAAAGTAGTGGCCACAGCAGAGGCCGCAGCACGTCCCCGCAAAGAGCTCGTAAAGCTCAAATTTCCTGATGCCTATAGGGGGAAGAAGGACGTAAGTTTTGACAACTGGGAAGCCAGTGTCAATACTTATGTGTATTTGCAGCATGTTGCCCCCGAGGAGCAAGTCCTCGTCGCCTTTCATGCATTGAAGGACGAAGCGGCCAGCTTCGCCAGGTCCCTTGTGCGTGCCGCTGATTGTGAGCATAACATGATTGCGTATTCTGGGTTGACCCTCTCTCCACTTTTCTCAAACTACTGCGTGAGAGGTTCGCTGACGTCACGAGAAGCGTCAGGGCCTCTGACAAGCTCCAAACCATCCACTCGCAACAGTGGAGGAGTGCGCGAGCACTCGAAGCTGTCATGGACGACTTGGTAGCCGTCCCGGACCATGGGGTCGCTGAGACCCAGTTGGTCCAGTTGATTTATCGTGCCATGCCAGAGCCCTTGCGAGGGCACTTCTTTGACAAGACCCAACAGCCCAATATCACATATGACGCGCTGAGTAGGGAAGTGGTCTTGTTCGAGGCAAAGTCCATGCCAGTTTCCACTTTCTGGCACAAGGACTTGGATAAAGGCAAAAAGTGGAAAGGCCGTACCATCTCTGGCCAGGTTAGGGCCAAGGATCATTTGATCCTCACTCTAGATGAAGGTGGTACAGACGAGGTTCCCTATAGTCAGATGGAGTGGGGCCTCGAGGAGGAGGACAGTAGCGTAGGTCAGGGGAGGTCCTATGCGGCTGTTGCGGCTGGAGGGAGGCCGCAAGGTAGAGAGGAGGAGGCCAGGGCCAAAGGGGCCAGGTCATGGGAGACCGAGGATCGGGCGCACAGGGGGTTGGCGGTCAAGGGAACCATCAAGCGGGAGGTAGGGGTCAAGGTCCCCCGCCGAATCGTCGAGGTCCCAGTTGGTCCCCACAGCGACGAGGTGGTAGGTCACCTCAAAGGTCAGGAGGTTGGCACCCATGTTGGCCACAAGGCCGGCCTTGGGAAGATCTGGGCCTGGACCAGAAAGTGTGGCAACAGCGCATGGAGCAGGGGCAGTGCATTTACTGTGGTGACCCTGCCCATATCATAAAATATTGTCCTAAGTATAGACAGGCCCGATGGGCTGCCCAGGAGTCAAAAGACAGTCGTCGGTAGGGGTTGCAACTGCCCCTACTATTAGGTCATGTGGGGAAGCGAGCGCGCGCGTACAGGAAACTCCCACACCACATGAGCCTTCGACAGAGGTTGCAGGCCCGTGCCTAGTTAGCTGTCCAGAGACTGCTTGTGTCAGCGTCTCTCTAGGCATGTCCCTCACAGGCGTGGCAGAGGAATTGAAGGAGAGGATGTCTGCCTGGGCCAAGATGAAGAAAGATAGTAAAGGGCAGCTAGTGTTAGTTGATGTAGAAGTTTTCAGGAGTAGAGTTGGGGCCCTTATAGATTCAGGGGCCACGCGCAGTTATATTAGCCGTAGAGCGCTGAAGAAGCTGAGGCTAGGATTGAAAGACCCCATAGTTAGTGTCCTCGCAGACAACCGCACAATGCGTGTTGAGGACTACGTAGAGGGAGTCCACGCGTATTTCCGCCTAGAGAAAGATGAGAAGGTGGAGAAAGTTCTCCATTCCCTGACTCTCCTCGTTCAGGATGACCTTCCTTTCGACATAGTCCTAGGTATGCACTGGGGAGAGGCAGCAGGGGCTACACTCCATTTGAGAGAGCATGAGTGTAGGCTCCCTAGTCCGTAAGGCGAGGTGAAGACAGCCCGTCTGTTCCACGTGTCAGGAGTAGACAACTCGCTGGCACATTGCTGTCTCAGTGCTCCCGCGTTCGCGCGACTAGTGAGGAAGGAGTAGTTAGAAGACCAGGTCTTTGTAGTGTATGTCAGACCTGACAGTGAGCCTAAGGAAGAGGATAATTCCATGGATCCAGCCATTGCCAAGCTGCTGGAATAGTTTAAAGATCTAACAGAGCCGCCGACAGGAGTAGTGTCGCGGCCGATCCAGCATAGGATAGAGATAGAGCCTGGCAGTAGAACTCCTAAGGGAGCAGTCTACATGATGTCCCCTAGAGAGTTAGAGGAGCTGCGCAAGCATGTAGACGAGCTCCTTGAGAAAGGTTGGAATAGGCCCAGTTCATCTCCCTTTGGAGCACCAGTTTTGTTTGTCCCCAAGAAGGAAGGAGAGCTACGTATATGCATAGACTATAGGGGTCTGAATGCGATTACAATTAAGAATGCTGAACCACTGCCCAGGATAGACGATATCTTAGATCGAGTGCAGGGTTGCAGGTATTTCTCAAACATAGATTTAAAGTCCGGATATCATCAGATAGAGGTTCATCCTGATGACCAGTACAAGACTGCATTCTGGACTAGGTATGGGCATTATGAGTTCATAGTGATGCCCTTTGGACTGACCAATGCCCCAGCCACATTCCAGTGATGTATGAATGATTTGTTTAGGCCTTGGTTGGATAGATTCGTCGTAGTTTACTAGACGGTATTTTAGTGTTCAGTAGGACCCTCCACGAACATCAGGGTCATTTGAGGCAGGTCTTGGAGAAGCTCAGAGAGGCTAACTTCAAGATCAATGCGAATAAGTGCGAGTGGGACAAGACACAAGTCTTGTACTTGGACCACGTGTTAGACGGAGATGGCATTAAGCCAGAGGACAGCAAGATATCGGCGATTAGAGATTGGCCGATGCCCCGCACGTTGACAGAGTTGAGGTCGTTCTTAGGCCTAGCTAACTACTATAGGAAGTTTGTGAAGAGCTTCTCGACTATCGTCGCACCCCTCCGCAGGTTGCTCAAGAAAGGGGCAATCTGGCAGTGGGATAAGGACTGGACGTCTGCGCTAAAGAAGTTGAAGCGCGCGTTGATAGAGTACCCTGTCCTCGAAGTAGCAGATCCGTCTTTGCCATTTGTCGTCCCCACGGACGCAAGTCAGTATGGGATAGGCGCCGTGTTACAGCAGGATGACGGCAATGGCTAGAGACCCATAGAGTTCATGTCAGCGAGGATGCCCTCAGAGAAGGTTGCCACCTCGACGTATGAGAGAGAACTCTACGCTCTCAGGCAGGCCTTAAAGCACTGGAAGCATTACCTGCTTGGGAGGCACTTCAAGGTGTATTCAGACCACGAGACCCTTGGATGGCTGAAGACAGGCCAAAATGACACCTAAGTTGACGAGGTGGGCCGCTGAGATAGACCAATATGACTTCGAGCTCAAGCCTGTGAAAGGCAAGTATAATGTAGTTGTGGATGCTCTGAGTAGGAGATCGGACTACTTTGGAGCCATAGTTCATTATCTGGATATAGGGAGTGACCTGCAGGAGAAAGTTAGACAGGCGTATTTGCAGGACCCTATCTATAGTGACCTCCTCAAGAGAGTTAAGGAGACCCCAGAGACCGAGCCAGATTACCGCACTATAGAGGGGTTGTTATTTGAGAAGACCAATGTAGTAGACCGTCTGTGCGTTCCCAACAGTGAGGAGATCCGCTGTTTGATCTTAGGGGAATGTCACGACACAGAGGGACATTTCGGGTGGCAAAAAACTCTAGCCAATCCAATGCACACGTATACATGGTCAGGAATGAAGAACGACTGCATAAAGTATGTCCGCAATTGTAAAGTTTGCCAGAGAAACAAGAGCACTATGGGTGCCCCTCTAGGTCTTCTCAGACCCTTGCCTATTCCTGATCAGCCAGGAGATTCAGTGTCCATTGACTTTATGGACACCGGTGTCAAGAGTAGGCATGGCAAGAGCCAAGTCATGGTTATAGTCGATAGACTTAGCAAGTATGTTGTTTTTGTTCCCTTGCCTGCAGAGGCACGCACAAAGTTGGTCATTCAGAAGTTTTTCGATTTTTGGGTTAGTGAGCATGGCGTCCCATTGTCTATTGTTAGTGATAGAGATACACGTTTTACTAGCCAGAACTGGCAGGAACTGATGAGAGTCTATGGATGTAAGTTGTTGATGTCATCTGGCCGCCATCCAGAGACTAACGGTCAGACAGAGCAGATGAACAAGATCCTGCAACAAGTTTTGCGCATGTACATTAGACCTTATCAGATTAATTGGGATGAGATGTTACCCAAGGTAGCCAGTGCATACAATAACACCATGCATTTGTCCACCTGTCGCACTCCCAACAAGTTGCACAAGTCCTTTAGACCATGTAGACCGTTTGAGGGACTTAACCGGGATCAGATTCACAGGCTACCGCCCAATACCAGGGAGTTCGCAATACAGCACGAGAAAGAGCTAGCCACTTTTGTTGAGAACCTCAGGAAGGCCCAACACCGAATGATAGAACAAGCTAATAAGCATTGTCACCCGTCGCAGTTTCAGGTAGGCGACCTAGTCTAAGTCAAGTCCAAAGAATTCGCTCCTGAGGAGAATATCTTGCAGAAGTTATTGCCCACGTATAGAGGACCGTGGCCAATTCTAGAAGTCAAGGGCGGAGAGGATGGACCATCCTACACAGTAGAGATACCAGCACACCTCCATACCTACCCTGTGTTTCACGCATCAAAGTTGCTGCCGTGTGTCACGAGTCAACAATTTCCATCTAGGAGATCCATGATCCCCTCAGACATGGACAGGAGATATGACATTGACGGCATTGTAGGTGAAAATGTGTTCAGAACAGGAGGTAGAGGCCGTCCGCAGAAGCAGTATAAGGTCCGGTTTGCGTATCAGGAACGGGAGGACGACCACTGGTTCACTAGAGCAGAACTTCTAGAGACAACGATATAATTAGAGCCTACGAGAGCGATCAGAAAGGTAAAGGTCCTGCCTTGGACTGAGTTATTCTCGAAGGACCTCAAATTTAGGCCGACGGAAGTGAAACGGTATTCACCAATTCGCAGTAGCCGATGCAGACCCTAGGGCTCGATCCCTAGTCCCCACCTTACCTGTGTACAGTATCTGTCTCGACCCGTGACCTGTGTATTTGTAACAGTTGGTAGGCTGTCGTAGGGTCCATAGGTAGCAGGGGTTCGATCTGTAGACCTGTCGAGTAGGAGTCTCAGTCAGGTCTAGAAGTGGTAGCTGTAGCTTTCTGGAAGGGTCAAGGTTGTAGCTGCTACAATCCAGAGAGGTCAAGGTCGTAGCTGCTACAGTATCGAAAGGCCAAGTCTACGACCTTCCGGAAGGTCCGAGTAGTGGCCTTTCAAAGTTGCCCATGTT